AACAGTTTTTAAAATGGATCAACCAGGTCCATCTACGGAAATAGATCAGTTACAAATAGACGAGGAGCGTGAAAACTTTTGCAAACTGAAGATTTTAAGGGCGAATTAACGAATGCTGTTAAATATTGCAATAGTTTGCTGGAGGCGGAGCATCTTCTAACTGATACTCTACCTGATAAAATAAGTTCTGTGTCTGTAGTGATGGGTGAAGTAATATACCTACCTAACAATAAATATATATAAACTATTAAAACTTAAAAAAACTATAAAAATTACACAAAGTTTAAATTTACAGATTTTTGGTTTATTAAACACTATATAATATATATTTGTTATATTTTATGCATTTTAAGAACATTTTTTCTATTAGGAAAATTAAAAAAAATATATATATATGGAATTGAACCCGCACCTTTAGATCTCTAATATTCGCCTTACTCCGCTGCGCCACGCTGCTGTTTGAAATATGTTTTATTGCATAGTACTTATACAACATGATAAACTTCAAACAGCGATTTCTCATAAACGGCTGAATAGTGCATCGTCTCCGTATAGCATTACTTACTACTATGCTAGTACTACGTACCTGTAAAATTTCAGCCAAATCGGTGACTCAGGTTATGCGGGTATCCCTTGTGAGAGTGTTGTCAACATGTCTTGCTACACTTCTGCACTTTAAGATCGAAAAAAATTTTTTTCATAAATAATACTATTATTTTGATATACACTATCTTTATTCGTCTCCACAATACATTATATATACATTTTACGATTGATATTAATTATATCAACGTTAATTAATATCATCAAAACTGCGAACTGACAGGTCTGAGCGCCGCCATATTAGAAATCTGAGTTGAGTGCGTTCTGATTGGTTGCGTGCTGACGACGCTGACCAATAAGACATGCGTTACATTTTAGCGTACATTTTACGCGACATCCGAGAAAAATGATGATTTTTTAGATTTCTCGACTTTGGATGCATATATCTTGATTTATAAAGCACACAGAGCAAAAACAAGCATATTTTTCTTATGTAATTTGGGTATGCGCTTTCGATTGAGCCTATTACCAACTCAATCGGCCCAGCCGTTATTGAGATCCGATAATCTCGGCTCATCTGAACCTTCCGTCTCGCGTAAAGATACACGGTCGGTCTTGCGCTGCGCGTGAACTTGGCGCGAGACACTACCGTGTCTCTTGATAACCAGTCATGATGTAAAAATATGTACACTCGGAACACGCCGACTCGATATGCCTTGATACCCGTGCAAGTTCATGTGTTCAGGCATTTCTGTGACCAGGTGTACATACGTTACATGTATATACATGGAATGTACACGAGGTATATTCTATGTATATACAGGCAGCGATCTCGTTCAAATATACGTTCTTTGTATATCTATAAGATATCTTATGTATATCCACAAATGTATCTACATCAGCGTATATCATATGTATGTACATGGTATATACAATATATTTTTTCACATTATGGATATTTTATGTATATCCATAGGATATCGAATGTTTACTGGGACCTTGGTCTTAGAGTGAAAATCCTGACTAATACGAAACGGGGGAGCCCGCCGATCGGACACCCCACACCCCCAACCCAAAAGAAGCCTCCGGTTACGTCGCCGCCGTACCAGGCCGAAATCTCGCACAATAGCGCAAGGCCCGGAAGGCTCTACTCTGCGGCCCCTGCCCTTCCCCCGCACATCCGCACGAGCAGGCCCACGCCCTGG